TCAGCTTCTACTAATTTTAGAAGTGTCATCGTCATCGATCACGTATGAATAAAATATAACTTTTTTGATCACTGATCAGTCCCAATAAAATCTGCATATTATGATATCAAGTTAAAGTATCTTCGGATGATTATAGTAAACCAGAGATTCTGATCTTCTCTTCGCTCAAACAGTTATGATAAAGTGTATCTTGAATTAGATAAAAAAAATAGGTAGAAATCTCCAAAATTGGAAAATCTCTAAGGTGACGTTTGTTTTTTAAGAGGTGCTGAAGTCTGAATTCACTTCTGAATTTTAAGAGGTGGTGCTGAAGTCTGAAATCTGAATCAGTCAGATTGTTTGTTTTTACGTCTGAAATCTGAAACCAAAGAGAGATCGAGAAGATTACCAGAACACCAGCTTCAATCGATGAATGGGACGAGAGCGGATGAGAGCGACGTAAAGGAGGCGGATGAGAGCGACGTAAGGAGACGGATAAACAAATAAGAGGTATTAAGAGCTAGCGTTACCACTTAAAAATTCAGAGGAAACTTTATGAATTCAGCTCTTAATTTGGGGGAAAAATCAAACGATCTGAAAGTCTATATGTCTGACCGATTCAGACATAAGAGGAAATTAAGAGGCAAATTTTAAAAAACAAACAGGCCCTAAAACTTAGTAATGATGAATAAGATATATTATTTTAGTTATTTTATTAATAATTATTTATAATGTTTTTAAAAGTGATTTGGGTAATGATATTATAAAATATTTTTATAATATAATTAATAATGGAATTGTTAGAATAGAGTGGCTGGTGAAGTTGAATGCAATTTTCTTTATAGATTTTGGTTTTAAAGCATCTCCAACAACGGGTTATCTGCAAAGTAGGTGGTCGTTCCGGGATTAGTCGGCTCGCATAGCGGATTGGATATCCAGGTTAATTAAAAAAAATCTCCAACAACTGTGTTAAAATAGTAAATTTTAAAGATTTAGGAATTATTTTTGTTACAACAGGTATGTTAAGGCTATGTTTAGTGAACTAGTTTATAATATAGTTGATAGCTATTAAACTATTTGATGGTGGATTAGCTGATAAATATTTAAAATAATCAAAAATGCCATATTGAAAAATTAATCAATTACGATATTTCATAATATAATTAAAACGGACTTTTTAATGATACAATATGTTAATTAAAACAAACTTTTAATAATATAATATGTTAACTAATACAAACATTAATAA